ATAAGAGAGATAACTCTCATTGGGATTAACGACTTTCCTTCTTTTATAAAATTTTAAATGCAAATTTCTGTAAAATCATGCCCTTCAAGATGTGTTGAAATTACATACATTTTAGTAATGGAGATTTCTTGGAAAATTGTTAGCGTTACAATAAGAAAATTTTACATTCAATGTGTAATTTCGAACTTAATTTACTTATTCCTCTGAAGTTTCTTTTGTAAATCACAACAGAAGTATATTCCGACCTCCATGTGACCTAGAAATAAACCAATATGCTTCTAGGAGGTGAAGGTCGTGTCATCCTATTAGATCCTGTTGGACAAATCCTCACTTCCATAAAAATGTCTTCCATTATGATGGGAACTCAGTTGTACTGAACCTAGCAGGAATTGTCATATCTTTGAAGATTACAGCCAGGTTACATTAAGAAGTGCTTGGTAGTTACATGTAGGACATGTAAATACAAGGTCAGAAGACAAGAGAGGCAGGGTACATCAAGAATTAAGCCAGGGGATCTTGAAGGAGAAAAGAAATAAATAATGAGAGTAGAAATCATTTCAACCTTCATACAGATTTTTACACAACAAAAATCTCTCTTAAACACATTTGTGAAAAGGCAGTTGAACTTTGTAGTGGTTCCAAGGTACTGGAAGGTATAGCTATGTTGTGGTTTCATTTAATACAGGAAATGACATGTGTGTCCAAACCTTTTAATATTGAGCAGAAAAAGAAAAGGTCCCTCTAGCAACATTAGATGGCCATCATTGATCAGGTATTGACAGGTAAAAATTCAGACCTGGATACATATTTATATAAAGAATTACTGTAACACCGTGGAATGAACTGGACAAGGTTGTGTTGGTATTTATTCAGTTTAATGTCGTAAGGAAACACTATTACCCCAATGAAAAGATGGATCAGCAAGTTCATTTTCAAATGTTTATTTATTTCTTCACCTGTAATTGGAATAAGGATAAGAAACCCGCTTGAACACATATACTGATTTCCTAGACTGCTCTTAATATACATGGTGTATATTTATTGAAAAGAAATATTTTGATGTGCTTTCATTGGAAATTTTACAATTTATATGTTGACACATTGACACATATGCTAGTTTACTTAATTTTTTTGCAATTTTTCAAGTGATTTTTTATTCAAACTCTTTTACACTTGCAATAAGTATTTCTTCATGATATGAAATTGAATTAATCAGTGTGTTCAATTTAAGTTTTTAATTCTGCAACCTCGCACCTCTCACATATGGAGCTGACCTACATTCTAGTTTCTTACCATACATGGTAGACAGCTGTTTATATTGACAGAAGGAAAATATTGTACAATCAAAAGCAAAGACCCATTGTCAATTAATCAAGATATGGAAGAAAATTATGATGAGCAAGATGTTAAATTAATGTTTTAAAATATAATTGCCTGAGCTAAATGACACAGGGGGTCATGCACATGTTGGAATATTTTTCTCATTTGAAAAAAAAATCAATAACTAGCATTCTTTTGGGTAATTTGGACAGAAAAAATAGGCAATTGAGCAATGTAGTGATCAAGGTTTGGTATAGTAAGTGGGCTTATAATTGTTGTCAATCTTTTGTTGTCTAGTTATTGGTGCCCTTTGGAGCATGATCAGTCAGGCAATCCAATACAGTATACTGCACAGTGTCTTAATTCTCCATATTGTCTCTGTCATGCTTTGTTAGTTGGCCTCCATATCTGATCTTAGGGGGCTTTCTACAGTGTAAAGAGCTGGATCATATTATGAGTGCAATGAGGCCATGGGAGATTGAAGGTTAGATTTTAAATGAACTGTCAGTGTTGGATGGCTATGGACATCTATAATCTCGAAAAAAAATAATCTTTACCTCTCAATATTACAAATTAATGTTGAATAATCCCTCATAATACTGTTTCTTCTTGGCTGATGTTTTTGTCTCCAGTAATTGAAGCTTTCATATTGCAGAATACAAACATACTTGTGTATTCTTCTCTGTTGATGATTTGTTGGTAAACATGCTGACATGAAACCTCAAGCCATTTTGAACAATTTTAATTTTTTTAAACACCATGTGAAGAAATTAAAAAATGAAATTGATAAAGTGGCATTATGATAAAGGACATGATACATTGGGTTTTATTGGAGTCTCCTTAAGAAGGACGGGGCTACCACCCGATACTCAAGCCTTCTATTATAGGCACTGTAATCAGAGGCCTAAATCAGTTCCACTCAGGCAAACTTCTCTGTCACAAGTCGTAACCGAATTCTAGTCCCCATGCTGACTCGCTTGAGTGCACTCATAGAAACTTGTATCTGTCTTGTGAATTATGTTCTTTTTCTTTGAATCACCAAGTCTGTGCCTTAAAAGAGGACTGTGTATGTATACATTGTGAATATAGATAAATTGTTGTGCTTCATGAATAGTTTTTTTTTTAGAAGTTGATAGGAATTTGCTGGTTTAAGTTGTACTCTTATCAGAAGAGGTAAGGACAATATGAAGATTGTTTGTAGGTTTTCTATGTTTTAACAATGTAGAGCAGTTTTCATTTGTTGTGTGAAAAGTTCCAAAGAAATTCGATGAAATTTTTTTGCATTAGTGATTCATGGAAAGTGAAGGTTGACACAATGACCTAAAAGTGTTCTTAAATGTTCTGTGGGCTTAGTGCTGCAAAAATTGCACTTTAAAACTTCTTTTTTGAGATAATTGGAACATATTAGCTATTCATATGTATTTTGAGAAGAAAGCTAGATTATAACAAATCTTGCAGTGGAATTATTAAATAACAAGCATTAATTTCAATGTTTTAATATCCGTGGTATTTCCAAAATCATTTAAGATAGAATGAGGTTTATAGTATGAGATATTACTTACTATTCATAACATTATTTTATAAGACAACTTATTCACATGTAAGAGAGCTTGTGAATATTGATATGGCTATGTCAAATTGACTGGTAAATTAATATTATTATTCAGGGAAAAAAGTGGAGCTTTCACTCTGGCCTAGTTTTTGTTCTAGAAAACAAAAAATATGCAGCACTGTTTGCTCAGCATATAGGAACCTTAAAAATCATGGCTTGTCTGCAGTTCTGTACATGCAGACAGTTGAAATGCTTTGAAAATAATCAATAAGTCTGTTTTCACTATATTTTTTCTTAAACTTTCTGTTGATGTTCTCACTGTATAACTTCCAAGGAAATGTATGTGATGAATAGAGGGCATTGGTCTTTATCTGAGGTCAGCAACCTAAAGGTCATCACCCTGGAGACGGACTTTTTTTCCCAACTTCTGTTGTGTGGTATATATACTATACATTAATAGGGTTATATTTTCATTAACAAACTGCTTAAGTTGACAACTTGAAAACATTGATTAAATTAATCAATTACAAATAATTGTCAAAGTTTCCACCCATTAACAATGTTAACAACTTTTCACATTCCTGCTAAGGAGTAATGTTAACTATTCTGGTAGGCTGTCCAAGTTTTTGCTTGCCATTTTTCTAAAATACTAGATTGTAAAACTTTCAACCCGTCCAAGACAGTATGTTTAAAAAAATCACTTGAGTTCTCTCGCAAAGCAAGTAGAATGTAAATTAATCTCTTAGAATCAAATTTTAAAATTGGAAACCAAAAAAATAAATGAATAGAATGCAATGATCAAAATATATACATACATGGTATCATTGGTATTATAGCTTATCTATACAGTACGTCATACATTGCTGGCATCGGTTGACAGTTTTCACAATGGTAAATCATAAAAAAAAAAAAATTTCATCACTTATGATCCTTAAATTTTAAGGTAGCTTTATTTGGACAAAAGCAGAACAATTATGATAAAAAGTAATTAAGGTTTTTTTCCAGGAACATTAGAATTGGTGTTGTGTTGTAACATTGGTAATGTTATCCAGAGGTATAATGAGGTTCCATTAAAGCTGTCACGTTATGTGGCCAGCTAGGCATAAAACCAAAGAAAATTGCTCAATAACAGGTGTATTATAAACAATTATATTGAAGAGAAAAAAAGGAAAAGTCAATTTCAGCCTTGGCTGAAGCAGGGAGAAAAATGATCTATGACATTGCTGGTTTTTAAACAACGATATTGTGAACTTTGCCAGGAAGTTGTGAAATGCTACTGCCACCAAAGATAGGGAAAAAGATGTTGTGATTGAGGAAAACAAGTTTCAAAGATCTTAATTTCAAGGTCACACAGATCGCTTTGTTTGCGAAATTTAATCGATCTAATATGTAACAGTAACTTCTATCAGTAGAAGTATAAGCAAAATCAAAGCTTTTTTATACAAAAAAGTTATAAATTTTTAATGAGCTGCAATGGCAGCTTGGAGCTTTATCCTAGCTGGTCATTTTTTCTGACTTCTGTTAATTCTTATTTAGTATTTTTATAGACAAAGTGTCTTTCCATTAAGTGGTTAGATTCACTTAAAATAGGCAATCAATGCATGATATGGTAAAAAGTCTCATTGGAATGAGGTCCGAGGTTACATAGATACTGGGTCCTGGTTACTGTGATGTGCTGAGGTCTTGTTTTTCTGCTGTTGAACTCTGGTGTACAGGAAGGAGTTAATGGATTGTTGGCACCTTTCAGTTAAAGAAACAAAGTTATAGTATAAAATAGGATTATAACACAATGAGTCATTCAGAAATGCATGAACCTTTTATATGCCAATGACTGTATTTATGTGGCTTAATTAGAGAATTTGGAAAATCCATTTTACTAGAATTTCATCCATTGATAGAAATATTGACCTAGAATAGTACAGTAAATGTCCAGCCATTACTGGAGATTCAGTAAATGCCTATTGATTTATCTTCATATTTTTTCTTCAATGACTGCATATATTGTAACTTGGCAAAAAATGATTTTATCCTTCCTTTAATAATTGCAGCCAATGGTCTTTGATAAGATTTTCTTTGTCACACAATTTATAAAGATTGTTTAAATATGATATTTTTTATCTCTTTACAGAGATTGGAAAAGCTGTCTTTGAAGTGGGACATTGCTAAAAATGATGTTAGACAGGACCAGCATCAACTCCTCAAAGACAAGGTTCTACTGCAACAGCAACTTATCAAGAAACAAGATGCCCTCGCTCAGGCCAAGAGGGAAGAGTTGGAAAAGGAGGCTCAAAAGGTACAAATGACAGGTGAACTCTCCAAAAAAAGGAGGAGAGATAGTGTCTTTACAGGTCATGTGACTGGTTTCCATGGAAATGAAAGAAATCTGCTGTAGGTCCCTGGTTTCAAGTGGTGAATAGATTTTGGAGTTATTATATTGTCTAGCACCATTTGAAATCAGTGCATCTTTTAGTGGAATGTCAAAGCATGGGAGCAGAAGAAAAAGAACAACTTCATACTTGTATCTATTCTTTGTTTGAATGCAGGTGCTATTATAAGACACAGTGAAACACATTATATTGTTCTACTTGAATTAGGGTAGTTTTAACATAGAATATTTCCCTTCCACTCTGTGCATTCAACTCTGTTACAAAAGAAAATGAAAAATGTAAATTGCATTTTATTCCATTATTTGCTGAAAGTAATACAGTCAAATCTCATTATCCTGAACTTTACAAGACAGATAAAACTTCAAGATATCCAAGCTGCATTAAAGATAACAAGGGTAAAAAAAAAAAAAAAAAAGGTGTTAGGACTTTACATTACATTGACATGTCCCTAGGATTTGATATATTATATTGTTCAAGATTATGAAGTTTAACTGTAAAAAAGGGAGGTAAATAAAAAGTATTGGAGGCGGACATTTCTTAGGATGTGAAAGCTAGGCCACACATAAAACAGCAGTGCTAGATGGTTTTATGGTGTTGTTATCTCGGCCTTTTTTTTCTCTCCGTTTTTATGTATGACTGACAAGACAGAAAGGGTGTATTGGGACTGTTGTTTTTTTTTATACAGCTTCCCTAGGTTACTGACCGAGATAGGAAGGTGAAGAGGAGAAATTGATTTCTGCCTGTCTTGGTTGTAGTCCTGGGTCATTAGTGTGCTTCAGGGAGAGATAACTCCGGTTTTTATTGCTTCAAACTTGTTTATACCACATTGATGGTTTCACAGGTACAAGTGTACACGTGGAGGAGGATAGAAAAGACAGCAGGGGAAGGGAGGTTACAAAACAATTTTAGGTCAATGGTCGTTTTTAGCTCACCTCAACGAAGTTGGGGGAGCTTATGTAATACCCTCGGCGTCGGCGTCGGCGTCGGTGTCGGCGTCGGCGTCCCAGGTTAAGGTTAAGTTTTTTGGAGCAGTTTTCTTTTTAAGTACTTCTATGTCCTATATTGATTAGACATGCATGGAAGATGGTTCTAGTGTGTTTCATTGTACCAGTCAAAGTTTCAGATGCTGCAATTTCAGCAAAGGAATGACCAGGTTAATGTTTTTGGAGCAGGTTAACCTTTTTGGTGCAGTTTCTGGTGTAGGTTTCATTTCCAAGTAACTATAAGCCCTATGTTGACCAAACTTGCATGGATGATACATCTAAGGATGCATACTACCAGGCTTGCTTCGGATGCTGAATCTGACCTACATTTTCCGGTTGAGTGAACAGGTTAAAGTTTTTGGTGTAGGTTTCATTTCCAAGTAACTATAAGCCCTATGTTGACCAAACTTGCATGGATGATACATCTAAGGATGCATACTACCAGGCTTGCTTCGGATGCTGAATTTGACCTACATTTTCCGGTTGAGTGAACAGGTTAAAGTTTTTGGTGCAGGTTTCATTTCCAAGTAACTATAAACCCTATGTTGACCAAACTTGCATGGATGATACATCTAAGGATGCATACTACCAGGGTTGCTTCGGATGCTGAATCTGACCTACATTTTACGGTTGAGTGAACAGGTAAAAGTTTTTGGTGCAGGTTTCATTTCTAAGTAACTATAAGCCCTATGTTGACCAAACTTGCATGGATGATATATCTAAGGATGCATACTACTGGGCTTGCTTCGGATGCTGAATCTGACCTACATTTTCTGGTTGAGTGAACAAGATAGAGTTTTTAGTGCAGGTTTCATTTCCAAGTAACTGTAAGCCCTATGTTGACCAAACTTGCATGGATGATACATCTAAGGATGCACTACAGGGCTTGCTTCAGATGCTGAATCTGACCTACATTTTCTGGTTGAGTGAACAGGTTAAAGTTTTTGGTGCAGGTTTCATTTCCAAGTAACTATAAGCCCTATGTTGGCTAAACTAGCATGGATTATACATATATTAGGATTTATACTACTAGGCTTGCTTCGGATGCTGTATCTGACCTACATATTCCAGTTGAGTGAATAGGTTAAAGATTTTGGTGCATGATTCATTTCCAAGTAACTATGAGTTCTTTAATGACCAAACTTGCGTGGATGATACATATAAGGATGCATACTACTGGGCTTGCTTCGGATGCTGAATCTGACCTACTTTTTGTTGCTGAATGAAAATGTTAGTTTTTGATGCATGTTTCATTTCCAATTAACTATGAGCCCTATAATGAGCAAACTTGCATGGATGATACATCTTAGGATGCACACTAATGGACTTGCTTCAGATGCTGAATTCGACATATATTTTCAGATAATAGACCAGGTAAAAGTTATGGGTGCAGGTCTATTACCAAAAAACTATAAGGCTTATATAACATTGTATAAACCAAACTTGCACAAATGTTGCATCAAGAGATGAAAACTCTCAAATTTGCTTCAGATGCTGGATTTTAATTACATTTTCATGAAGAAGAACTAGTTTAAATTTTTTATGTTGTTCTATTTCAAATTCAGATTAAAATTGCTTAAATATTTTCATCTTTGGAATGTACACTTCTTGTTGGTTAATTGTGTGACTTTGCCTTACTTAAAGACAACATTCGTTGAGGTGAGCTCTGTAATCTCTGATTACCTATGTTTATATTTAAAAAAGAATTGCATTTAAATAGTTTTGCGTAAAAAAATTCTTGTTCTTAAAGGTAAAACATAGCCCATTTGGAGTCAATTTTGCTTTGCTGCAATAGTTTTGCATAGCATGTTTGGTTACATTTTCTGGGAAGAAAGGAATGAACTCAGTGTCAGCATTCCCTTGGGTAACAGAGAGAAGCTTGGATTCCAAACATAGTCAAACCTTGATTGTTTGAGGTAATCCTTTGTTTGAAAACTTAGATTGAGGAAGAAGATAGCTGAATGATTGTGTGAATTATTAATGGTCCCCTGATGATTGTGATAAAAGACAAATATAGGTTATATGTATATATCTCACTGGTTCCAGCATTTAAATCATTCATACTGTGGATACTGCTTCACTGGGTGTTTTGTCTTGGAACTTTGTATCAAAGAATTTGTCATATCTGGATAAGATCTTCACAATGCATTAGGATTGGCAGTCAGTAGTGGCAGCCATTTTTGTCAGTGGATAGAATTTCAGAAAGGGATGCAAAAAAAAAAAAGAATTGCAGTGAGAAAAGTCTTTCTGTGACAAAAAGTGCATAAGAAGGCTTCATGGAACATAAAGAGAGGGTAAAGCAGGTGAGAGTAACCTAGAAGTTTAGATACAACTGTTGTGCTTTTGCCCTTCTTAAGAGTCTGGAAAGTGGACTTTTGTAATGGTGGTCATAAACAGTTCAAAAGATGTTGGAGTGTTCACTCTGTGCTATATTGACGTTCTGTTATAGATGATGGCCATTTAGCTATACATTGTAAGCCCTAGAGGTGGTCAATAAGAATTCAGGAGAGACAGGGGGTCATTGGTAGAATGATTGACAAGACTTACTGTCCAGACTTAGGAGTTGTATAGTTAACATAAATATTCTGAGCTATACTGAGCTCCAGACATTTATCTAGCGTTTTCTTGCATAAAACCAAGTTGCAGTTCCTAAGCGAATGTCTCGTGGTTTTAATAGTTTACTGGAGTAATAAACGCTGTCATGTTTTTCTAGGATGCTTTCCACGGGTGAATGGAAGTTCTGAGACTCGCTGGTTTCTCTCTACATTAACAATTTATTGGGACTAGGAGCTACATCTATATATTGATTCACATTGCTTGTTTTTATTGATCCTCCAGCGGACTAGTTCTCAAACCAAACATAAATACAAGTTCATTAAATTTGGGCCAAATGCTGAATGATGGACCGTCTGGTGATGAGGAGATTTGTTATAGAATCTGCTGTAAGTTAAGGAGATCCAGCACTGGATTTAAAGGACAGGGCACAATTACTGCTGGAAATGCCCACAATGTTGCAGGTACTTGTTTGCTCTTTATGTTGAAGGTTCAATAAGATTCTGCATATCATTCATATCAAGAAAAGGCTTTCCTATTCTGTATATGAATGTATAGATATTAAATATGGCATGCATTCTCCAATTAAGTTGAGCCTTTCTGAAGTTAATCAATTATAAAGTAGATTTGTAAGACGGGGGAATTCTGCAGCGGGTTTCATCATTGATTTCATTGAAGTGTATCCATCGATTCGTACGTTCGCTGCATGTTAAGTTTGGATAAGCTACACTTCTTCAGGTAATACAAATTTATGTATTTAGTTTTAATGTAGAAAGAAACTTAAGTGAAGTTGGGCTGTTTTTCACATGAGCCTTTTATTTCCTCTCTGTGTTGTATAGTTTTTAGATCCAATATTAATTAATTGTGCATGAAGCATTTCAGATGTTGCATTGTTAGGGGTTTCCTTGATTGTCAATAGTTCATTACGTCAGCATTTTGCCGGTACCGAATTGTCAATTGATTCATTTACGGAGTAAGTTTTATTTTTACATATAGCTGCCAAAATAGTTAAATACTACAAGATGATGATTGCAGTTGGGCAGTGTCAGAAAAAGTCTAAGAAGTTGTAGATCGTTGACCCCTCCAGAGGTTATTGGGTGTGAAGGAAGACATAGAACTGTGGCACTTGTCTTAATTGGTCTCTCTCAGACTGAAGACAACCATAACCAGTTGATTTCTTTACAGGTTCTGACTTCAGCAATCATGAATAATCCATACCAGGGGAAAAACAGCAACAAAAAAAAGGAAATTACTAGTAGTCTTTTCATTCTTTGTTTGGAAAATTAATTTAGGAAAATATAATTTTAAAGTGCATGTTCAACTGAAGGAAAAAAAGAATCCTGAGAATTTTGTAACTGTAAATGGGCAGTGTATCACTGTATATAGCCCTATTTCTTACGAAAATTGCTTTGATGTGAAAGTTTTTCAGGGAATCAATAGGGCATTAACTGATAGGGAGAGAAAACAATAAAAAATTGATCAAACCAGGGCTTAGATATGGCCAATAGATAGGAGTCCTTCATATGTGATTGCTAAATAGTCCTCATCTGATGGTCGGGCAGAGTGAAGTAGAGGGTTATCCATTCCAGAGTCAGTGGACCTTGCTGGCAAAACATAGGTCATAGATTTTCAGTAAAGCAATCACAGGGATGTAGCATGATAGATGAGGGGGGTTTCCGAGCAGTTTAGGCAAAGAGCAGGAATATTGAAATTTATAGTCTTGTGCAAGTATAGGTGAAGAAAAGAAAAGATAATTTGGAAATGAAAAGGTCTGCAAGTTGTGTTTTGGGGTCAGCTGACTTTTGTAATAATACAGGAGGACAAAAAAATTTAAACAAATTGAATGGCATGAATGAAGGGAAGTAAATGTGGAAGGAAAGAAACTTCAGCTTGAATTTTGGAGATAATTCAATTCTGACAATAAAGAGAGTTGGGAACTGGAAATAACCCCACCAAAGAGAAAACATTGGCCCGAAAGTGTTTTCAAATTGTTCAACCATTTGTAGAGTGAAAAGTAGACAGGACAGCTAAGGGAGGCAACCCTAAAGTAAATAGTCTAAGCAGAGAAGAAAGGAAAAAAGAAAATTTATCCATGAGCTGCATTTGAATTGTGAAATCCAAGGGAGAGAACTGGAGAACTCTGCCACTTAGTGACAGCCTGGTCTCATCTGGTGAATAGAGAAATCAGTTCTAGCACCATTTGAAATCAGTTTGTCTGAGTGGTACTTCATCGTACCAACTACTACACAAAAGGGATGTGAAAACCATTCAAGTGATAGATGTAATTCAGATTATATTGCTAGTTTGGAGAGGATTTTAGAAGTTTGCTAATTATGTGTTGAATACTACCTACTTTATAAGATAAAGATGATCCTGGTACATGATTTAAGTTGTAAGAAAAAAAGAGACAATGAAAAAGGGAAATAACTTTATTGATGTAGTGATGAAAGAAAGAGAAGAAATCTGTAGTATATGTACTAGGTAGTGTGTCAAAGTGTGCAATCAAAAGGGTCTTTGTGATGTCACTGAAAGAGGCCTTTTGGGAAATTAATTCTATTGGTGTAAAGGCTATTTAATATGCAAAAATATTACCTTTTCATGAGCTGTTGAGAAGAAAGAGCCAGCAAAAAGCTTCAAAGCAGTTAATTAGTAATACTTAATGAGATACCTACTTGTGAAGGGAAGTCAAGCATGAATGTGTTTATGGTGCTATTGTATATTGCAAGAGATTCCATTACTCTGCTGGTTTGGCAAATCTAATACTTCATGAAATTTAAATGATCTTTTAATTAAAATGGAGGCAATGCTTTGATTGTAATTGAATGTTATCATGCTGATAAGAGATTGAACCCATTATTTGCAGCATCTTACAAAGGTGCTAAATATTTCATTTTAAACTAAGAATGTAGAAACATTTTCATTCATGGTATAGAATCTATGTCTTTTAATGTTCTGTGGATGAATTTAAATGAGAAATTTAAAAGTTTCTTAAATCTTGTTTAAAGGTGTCTGAGATATGAAACAAAGGCTTCTGGAATTTATACTTCTGTCTTCAAGGAATGGATGAACTCTTTCAGAAATCTGATATGTGATTTATTAAAGACAACGTTCAAGAAAAAAGAATTGTTAGCAAGGAATTTTAATTTTCCAATATAATGCATGTAAGTGTGCTTGGTGGATTTTCGGCTGGTTTCCTTCAGACAAGTATATTTTCAGATATTTGTAACGTTGACTGGACACATTATGTAAAGCTCACCACTAAGACACTGGGTTCTTCCTAGTCCTTTGTTCTCTTCTATAGATGTTCATGGGTATATGGTCCGTCATTGTTTGATTGCACTGCTCTTGTTTCACAGTTATGCCTTTTTAGATAGATTGACTGACAACTGAAGCCTTCAAACTTAAAACACTATATCATATATTGTAAAGGCACAGTATAGTCTAGATCATTTTATAGACCTGTTATTTTCTGATTTTTTCTGATTGTGTTTGTTGATATTTAATTGTCCTGTGTCTTAATTGTATTGTGTTTCTCTTTTCACTATTGATTTCCATGCTTTGCTTGTGAAGATGAAATTAAACAGTCAATTTATTTGAATTGCTACTGTAAATTGCCATTTGTTGATCAAATTGTCATGTTTTACTGGGGTTGGGAACATAATGAACAAGTATATAGGCCATAAACTATAACTTGCAGGAGAAGTGCAAGATTGTTTGCACATTGAATTTATTTTCACATAAAAAGAATGCCAGGAAACACTGCATTCTTATCTATTCTGATGGGCAATTTTGTATATACAATTGAATTTAGTTAAAGGGATATCTTAAAAAATCAGGGATATATGTCAGTAATTTGATTATTCAGACCTTGCTTTCTTTATTTTTTTAACCTTGAAGATTGAGGTCAAGAAAATGAGTTTTGACTGTATAAATATGTTATTTTTAATAACCAACACAATTCCTCATCAATTCAGGTATGTAGTTTTTGGTGGATATTTTATATGTAAAACAACAAATTTTTGTCTTTTTCAGCAAAGAGAGTTGGAAAAGGCTAAAAAGCAGGCCAAAGAGTCAGCCTTACTCCAGCAGTGTAAAAACTCTATAGGTGAGTTAATGTGGGACTTTTTCTACCTCCTAAATTAGAAGATTCACATGGGGTAGAGACATGCAGCTCACCTCAGCAGATTTCGGTCCCTTACAACATCTACATTAGATGGAATCAGCCGAGGTGATCTGAGGGGGGGAAGAGAGAAAAATCTTTATTTTTATACACTCTATTTAAAAAAAAAGAAAGATATGAGGACCTTTAGATGATCACTCAACACGTAATTAAAGCGTTAAAGCAGAAATAGAGACTTGTTGGGGATTAAATTTTGTTTATTTTGGTCAAAATCGTGTTTAACTGTTCAGTTTTTTTTATCCTGAGAAATTCTAGTGTTTAAGTAATTAATGGACATAAATGTAACTGAATATCAAGATTTCGTCTCATGCTTCTCTGTATTATTGTGAAATCTGTTTGAAATACATGTATTCACTGTAAATATGTGTAAATCAGCAGAACCCAAAACTAATATATACATTTAAACTCATATGGAAATAATCATTTTGTAAGGTAGTTAGTGATAGTAACTGAAAACCAATATAGATATAAACTAATATAGAAATAATCAGTCTATATGCAGGGAAGTGTTTGTATGCAGTCTTAAAAAGTGATATGATCAATCTCCAGTTGATGTTTAGGTAACTTAATATGATAATGAAGAGGTTTACATTGGGTGTCATGAAATGGTTAACAAAGTTACCCATTGTAACTTTATAATGTCATTATAACAAATTGCTACTTGAAAGAATGCTGCTTCCTTATTTTTAAATCTCAAGCAGATCTTTTGAGTTTGTATAGATTAGCATGTTTATACAGGTTTAGCAACCAAAATAATCACAGGTGAATTAGCAAAGTAGGATGACATTGCTGCACTGAATGAAGTGTCAGGTTACAAGGTAAAAAAGTCTGTCAGATGCTCTTGTACATACCTGCAAAGAGAAATTATCTTAAACATGAAAACTATATATGCATATATTATGCATATTTCATAAAGTTTGCATTTTGTTTGCAGTATCTTTGATTGATATAAAAACAGAAATTTCTCCTGGAAAAAAAAACCAAAGAAACAAATAGGTATGGATTAAACTCTTTAGCTATTCAGGTGTCTATTACCTTGTACTACAGGTAAATTAAAAGAAATAGCAGAGGTGATCCGGGCTCGTTAACCTTGTCTTGTTACCTGTAAGTCATGTAACATAAAGCTTGATTAATAAATCTCTCTCACTGGGACTTAAGTAAATATAATCTGTAAATCTTAATGAAGATTAACAGAGCCTCTATTGGTTGCAAGTCAAAGGGAATTAAATTCAGGCTGTAACTCTACAAGGATTATCCGAACATAATATCTCCATGCATTTGTAACCATACCTGGCTACATTTGTTTCATATCTGAAAGCTTTGTGCAGTTCTATAGATCAGTGTATATAAATATTATCTCAAGTGTGCTTTACATTGTGATTTGATCATATTTTATGGACAAAGTCAATGACAATGCAGATTGGTGATTTTTGTGTTTAATTAATAATTTATCGGCTGGAATTAATTGAGGGGCCGGTAACACCGTGGTTGCTGGTCTCTAGGTCCCAGTTTCTGTGAGGATTTTCACTGTACTATGTAGGGGCCCTGTCACTGTTCACTATGTTCACCCCCAAAACCCGGTTGTCAGGGTCTGTGAGCTCCTCCCTGGGCAGTTTGGAGGCCATCACAGGTAAACCCAAGATTTTCTTCATCTTATCAATTGAAAATGATTTTGTTTGAAAAGAAAAAATAATGAAGCAGCAGTTATTTTCTCTCGTGTTTGTTTTCAACATTTTAATTCTCACTTTAAAGATACGAGGGAGTGTCAAAGGTAAAAGCAATCAAATACAAGTGTGCAGTACTTTTCTACATTTTTTTCTGTTATTTACTCTTTTTGGTGTTTACTGTATGGAAAGTACAAGATTCTACAAACATTCAAAATGTGGGTTGATAATGCAAGGTAATTTTGCAGTGTTAATGAAAACTTTCGAATGTACAGAAGTTTTACTTTAATTGCAGTGCAATTCAAATTCATCTAGTAAATGTTATATCAATTTGGTAAGTCAGTGGATAGCAATTCTGTGCAGATGAATAGAAATGCAGCTAGAAGTTTTGATTCTGTGTCATAAATATGACTCAAGTGTATGATATGTGAGGAAATCTAAATAAATCTGTTCAGCAGTCTGAAAATAAAAAAGAAAATCAATATTGGGGGTTCTTATCCACATCCTGTGTACTCTAGATTTATGGCCAAATCTGGAAAAACTATTCTCTGCCATATCCCAGTAGTATCCAATGATTGTCTGGGTTGTCGAAACATATTATTAGATCATATCTGGCTGTTTTTTATGTGAAAAATGCATAAAAAATCAGATTTGATACAACCCCTCAGATTTTTGCTTTATTTTGAATACAGAAATGCAGTGTAAACAAACAGAATCTCTTTTACACAACTCTCTGGTCTTGTTTTTCAGAAGAAGATAGGAAGTCTGCTAGTAAAGAGAGAAAGTCCAAAGCCAAAGCAGCGGTCACTACACCACCCACGCCTTCCTCTACAGGCGTCCCATCAAGTCCTGTGAGGACGCCCTCTAAATCCAGACGCTTTCACCCCAACCTACCCCCCGTCAGCCGCACTCCCACAAACACAGAACTGCTGGAGCGCGATCCCTCATGGAGCATGCCCGAGGGGGAACCGTTACCATGGCATCAAAAACAACTCTACCAGGTGCTGGGGAAGGGTGCGGACTATTTTCTGCATCCTAAGATCGAGAAGAAAGCTGTTAAACCTATTAACAGCAAGCTGAGGAAGGAGGGAGGTGGGTTGTTAGACTGAAATATAATAAATCAGTAATTTTTACTCATTGTAGAATTGTCGGCATGTACATTTTATGCAGATAGCTTTATGTATATCCTAGTATTTATTAATTCAGATAGTTAGATACATGTACTTCAGTCAGATAGTGTTCTAAAATAGTATTTACAGGGATAGCTTGAAAATTTGTTGACCTATTTGAGTACTAATTTTTTGGAAATAATTACCATATCTGTAAATAATTAATGCCAGTTCACTATTGGAAATTTGAGTTTTTTGAAGGGTCAATTGATGAATGAATAACTACTTACTGGATGCATATAGGATTTTTTTTTCAAATAGACGGGATATTTTTTTTTCTCAAATAAAGTGTAGCTTGTTAATAATTTGAAAATTGACTTGAAGGTAGGCAGGAGAACAATACTATCATTCACAGTTCTTTGAAATTGCCTATCAAGTCCATTAAAAAATCTGTTCTGCAAATTAATAGTTTACGTCGTCGCCAGCTACAGGTTTTCTGTCCATTCTCTGTTTGTGGAAATAGAATGGACACTAATCCAGTGACTTGCAATGATGATTTGTTTATTCAAATTTATATTTTCAGACATAAATTTGCTAAAAGAAAATAACTCTTACTTTATTTTTGCTATTTCCTAAGAATAAAAATGACTATCCTCACACTAGTGGATGACTCCAGTCATATGAAGCTTTTCTTTCTTTGATGTATTGTGCACAAATTTAGCTTTTGCCAGCTATGCATGTACAAACCTGCAGTATTAAGTGAAGTAACTTGATATAGCAGTCAATTTGAAATGCTGCTCAGTATAATCAATTTATTGACATATAGTATAGAGTACTCAAAATTAATTTTTCTCCACATTACAAACATAATTTCTCTATTTTTATTTTTGTGAAGTTGTTAAATTGTTCTCCCCCCTTCAGAGCTAGTTTGATTAAATATGGTGAAAAAAGTTCATATAATGTTTGATTTTTTTCCTTTTTTTCCCAAATGCTGTAAACGTACTTTTTTCAGCTAGGTCATAATTCTGCAGACTTAAAAATTCTGTTCATGCAATCTGTGATAAAAAAAAAATGCAGATTTATATATGTATTGTGTGATTATATATATGTTCTTCAAGTACACTGTTTCAACATTCAGGAGGAAATTTATATCTCGTACAATGCATAGCCTAAAAAATTCCCAGATGGAAAAAAGTATGTCTATAGTAATGTATCCTTATTTTAGGACTTGTTGTGTGCCCATTTATGTCATTTATTAAATCATTTGTATGCATAACTCTCATATAAATATTTCAGTCATCATTTTGATATGTAGCTTTGCATGCATGTTGTATATTATCGCTTGCCTTCTCACAGGGAAACGCAGGAGACAGGAAACTTCTGATTCAACATTTGATCCCCTAGGTAAAGAGTTATCCCCCTTGTCCCCAGCTGTGACTATTCCCTGTGTTATTTTCCCCACAACCTACTGGCAAATTGATCGCTATCAGAATTGCTTAATGAGCTTATTGTTTAAAGAGAGATAACTCTTGTATGATCAGTTTGCCAGTTTTCCTTTGTTGAAAGTTTTTAACAGTCACTGGTTTTTTTTTTAAAAAAACTTAGGTGTAGGATGGATTATATTAAACTTAAATTTGTGTACATTGAAGACTTGTGTAAATGTAAAGCTTTCTAGTTCTTGAAGTATTTGATTGAAGAAAAAGAGAATTTCTTTATCATGTAAGAAAGTTAATTAATGATTTGTATGTTAAAATTTGACATTTTCTTCAATTGGTTATAAAGAGTATGAACCAAATCACGTTGTATATCACCATGTCATCATTTAACAAGCCTTTTGACTACCAAATTTAAGTTTAATCAGAGCAATTGAATGTTGGAAAGATTTTTATTGGCCTCTGTTTTTTTTGTTAGGAATTATTTTTTAAAAACTTCTTTAAATTGCATATTTCCATTAAATTTTCTGTTTGGGTATTAGAACAAGAAACTTTCATAAAACGGGGCCTATGTGATTAGAGCTGTGTATAAATTAACTGCAGAGGGATAATAATTGTGCTGGTTCAATTTAGATTTGGTACATTGTTAACATTTCCTAACCTAACCTAAATATGTGTGCCTTAAAGTAGTACGATTTAATTGTGGATTTAATTAAGAAATGCGCTAAGCTAAAAATTTAGCTTTTCTGATTGATTTAGTCTAGTAGATGCTGACAAGGGTTTAATACTTAGATGATGCTATGAGATCTGTGAAGCCAGAGATAGGGAAATAATTTGTTGACTATCTAAATGTGCAATTCGTGTGCGCTGCCAATTGTAGGCTATGTAATACAAACAAGATCCAAACTTTGTCCTTTACAGGTAGAGCTGGGGTGGAGAGACTGTTGAAGACTCTGAGAGATGAATCCCAGATCCGACTTCTAAAGGCCGACGCCCACATACCACAGGAATTAAAGGTAGAAAGGGAAAATCTATGAGCTTCACTTATACTGCTGATTGGTACTATATTATATTACTGGGAAATCACAAATTTTCAGGGGGGGGGGGTTAATAATTTTCATTGTTTATTGAGATATAAAGAGACCCACAAATTCATGTCCACCATGAAATGTAAAATGTTACATAACTACTTAACAATTCTTCATCCACAAATTCAAATCCCCTCGAACCAAGAGTTTTTACTCAAACCACGAAAATTTAATCCCATGAAAGTATGTGATTTTACAGTAACCATGCTTATTTCAGAAAGCTTAAACTTATTAATTAGCTGCAATGTATATATGTATCATTTAATCAGATAAGCAGTAATGAATAAATAAGTAACATACTCATGCTTTGAACAACATTTAATATGTTTTAAATCAACTGTATAATAAACTTGAAGACCAATAAAATATGTATAATTATTTTTATTATTTATATGAATTTAATTTTTTTAAAAAACTTTTAATATGTAATTATATTAGAAACTGCATGATGCTTTGATGAATTGCATGATGTATATATATAATTAACCTTAATTACATGTAACATGACCTATTGACCTTGGCAGGACACGTTTGGGGCCTTTGTACGGGAGAGTGTAGGAAAGGATCGGCCCCCAGTTCAGAGGTTTTTCTGTGCAGAGGAAGATGTAAGCAACTCATGTCTCTGTCTGTGGTGGAGGGATTATTACAATACAAAATTATACGAAAAAAATTCAAAAAAATTTAAATCAGCAAAATTTTACAAGTGTACATGTATTAGAAAATATGTTTATGTAGTGACAAAAATTGTACTCATTTGCATGTTAATACCGGTAATGAATTTGGCTTATTAATCTATATAGTTTTATTTTAAATTCTAAGAATTTAAAATAAACTATAAATTAGAAATTAACAGCATAAGTATTAACACAATTATAAGTTATTTTTCATATCATTTATTTTCATTGTACACAGGTTCCAGAGTTAGCTAGACTCCAGGACCACTCTAAGTCTGCCCGAGTACGACATTACAAACACAAGACAGACCTGATGTTCCGAGCTTCTAAAAACAACGAAGACCGAACCAATATTCTGATTCACAATAACCCGCCCCCAGAAGTAGCCTCAGTAGACCCCGAAGAGGACGGGGTGGGGCGGTACCTACCCTCCTGGATTGATGACCTTGTAAGTCAGGTTATTCCTATAGGAAGTTTAATAGGCTACCGTAGAGACATTTTTTTTAAATGATAAAAATTAATATAAAGTAGTTATTACATGTATTGCAAAAGTACTAAAAGTGTACATAGTTTTAAGAAAACTTTGGACCGAATTCTTACTTTTGTTACACTTAATCATAGAGTATTAAATTTGTTTGAAGGTGAACATTTTGCTTATTTGGCATGTCATTTTCTCCTTGTTATACTTTCATTATAAATTTTTTTTTCTTAAATAATTTGAAGTTGGATATTATAAGAGCAATAACTTGTTGATAGAAATAAACATGAGATGTCCAGAGATTGGTATAGGATTTAAATAAATATTTTTGTAAATTACAGGCAGAATCCGAGCCTGATTATATGAAATGGGTAACGGGAGGTAAGCAGAGCCATCGTGACCTGACGAGTCAGCCAATCAAAGAAGATGAGGAGGAGCCGGAGAGACAGGAGGAAGAGAGGGCGGAGGAGTTTACAGACGAGGTCATTCTACAGATGAGTCGACGAAAACACCACAAACCTCAGCCCAAGTACATCTTCATCAAGGACGAGGACACAAACTTCAAAGGGACCTTTACAGACAAGTTCCGAGATATGTACGACAACGCTGACATTCCCCGCCCATTTAATGCTAATAAGCTTCCATCTCCTACAAAGTCCAAATCTGTGCTGGGTCTCACAACAGAGGACATGGCTGAAGGTAGGGGGAGTAACTCTCCTTACTGCTTGCTATTCAGTGTTAAACAGAATTAAAATGATGTGATACATGTATTTTATAAAGCTTAATGAAGATATGATATTTATAAAGCTTATTGGTTACTTTGCAATCATTTTAAAGCAAAAGTTTGATTGATGACTTCAAAATGAAATTGTAACTCAGTCTGTATATTACCCATTGAATCATTTATGCAGAAAAATTTTTAATGTGCAGTCATGGTTTCATTTGATCCATTTGATGTCATATCCATGCGATTGGGCTTTATACTGTAATTTCTATACCTTATTCAGAAAAGTAATCACATAAAACAAAAATGTTTATGATCTCTGTGTCCATTTTATTTTTTAGATGATCGTCCTTCCTGCCAGTCGGCTCCTATACCCAGCAGACACCGGCGTTATTACGATTACGTATCCCAGTGGGAACCCCTCAGTATGAATGCCCTGATAGAGTACACAAAGAAGAAAGAAGCCGAGGGGGCGGGAGAGTTCAACCAGGGTCGTCCTAAAATGTGGACCAATCAAGTCAAGGTCACATGACCTGAATGGTGGATTGTTAGTGAAGAAAGACAACTCTGTGATTTATGGATGTGATCTGATTCTTATGAACTCCTCTTGATATATTAGAAAACTGTGTTATGAAATGAGCATTGTATTGTCAAATTTATACTGACAGTAGCTGATTTTGTAATATAAACAAAAGAGGTTTTTAAATCACATTTATTTAGCATTATGTTTTTGCAAATACATATATTGAGGAAATTTTGAGACTGTGATATTTCTGGATATTTTATGTCCGTCCAACTCTTCTATTTTGAACTGTATTATATTGCATTTCTAAGTTTATTAATTTTATGCTAAGATGAATAAATATGTTTTTAAAAATTATATTGTTTTTCTTTGTGTAATATTTACATCCAGTGGAATTCTTTAAGCTCTTCTGTGGAATTCTTTAAGCTCTTCTGAGCCAAAGTCTCAAATAGCTAATGTTATGGACACTTGTGCGGTGTGTGTCTTTTTTTGGCCCTATCTCAAGAACCCGTTGGCCAGTTTTTTGTCATGGAGTATTCCTGTCCTTAGGGCTCTCAATTATACTAAAAAATTCAAAAAAAAAAAAACCTTGAACAAGGGAAGATAAGGAAAAAAGGAAGAAAAACAGTGATTGCTTAAATTTTTCTCAAGAAACAATGGGGTGATTTTCACCAAAGATTAGAATATGTTGAAGATTACCAGGCATTATCCAGAGGCTTCAAAGTTGACCCATCATCAGACTTTGTCAGTCTAAATACCGGTGTCATATAATATATTGAACCCCGCGATATTTTGAACCCGGGTTCAAAATATCGCTGCGATATATTGAACCCCCCTATAAAATATTGAACCCGGGGTTCAAAATATTATGGCCATAAAATATTGAGTCCCCCTGTCCTTCTTATTTTACAGGGAGGGGGGTTCAAAATATTATGGCCATAAAATATTTTATTAATTCATAAGGGAGGGGGTTCAAAATATTATGGCCATAAAATATTGAACCCCCATGCCCTTTTATGTTAAGAGGGAGGGGGTTCAAAATATTATGGCCATAAAATATTGAGTCCCCCTGCCCTATTAATTTATCAAGGAGGGGGTTCAAAATATTATGGCCATAATATATTGAATCCCCCTGCCCTTTAATTTATCAAGGAGGGGGTTCAAAATATTATGGCCATAATATATTGAACCCCCATGTCCTTTAAAGATAACAGGGAGGGGGTTCAAAATATTATGGCCATAAAATATCGAGTCCCCCTGCCAGAACAATTTGTCAAGGAGGGGGTTAGAAATATTATGGCCATAAAATATTGAATCCCCCCTGCCCTTTTAATTTATAAGGGGGTGGGGTTCAAAATATTATGGCCATAAAATATCGATTCCCCTGCCCGTTTGATTTAAGAGGTAGGGGGTTCAAAATATTATGGCCATAAAATATTGAGTCCCCCCTGCCCTTTTAATATATAAGGGAGGGGTTCAAAATATTATGGCGATAAAATATCGAGTCCCCCTGCCCTAACAATTTGTCAAGGAGGGGTTCAGAATATTATGGCCATAAAATATTGAATCCCCCTGCCTTTTTAATTTATAAAGGAGGGGGTTCAAAATATTATGGCCATAAAATATTGAATCCCCCCTGCCCTTTTAGTTTATAAGGGAGGGGGTTCAAAATATTATGGCCATAATATATTGAGTCCCCTTGTCCTTTTTAGTTAAGAGGGAGGGGGTTCAAAATATTATGGCCATAAAATATTGAATCCCCCCTGCCCTTTTAATTTATAAGGGGGTGGGGTTCAAAATATTATGGCCATAAAATATCAATTCCCCTGCCAGAATGGCCAGTCAACACACAGGTATGTATTTAGAAATAAGAATTGATTATCTTATTTTAGCAATTTATTGTATGTGGGTGAATTAAAAAAAAATAATGACTATTAAATTTTATTTTTTTTTTTTTTTTTGTAAATTTTCAACTACCCATTCCAATCTGAAGACCATTTTAAAAATAAAAAAGTTTCAGATTTTTTAATTTAATTAGTGCAACTTTTTCTGAAGAAGAAAAAAAAAAGAGCTATAAATCCTTAAAGATTTTCTAGAATATGCAATCTAAAGAAATGAAATTTCTCCAAAATTGTAATTAAACAGCAATAGAAATTATAAATTCTAAACTTTTATTAATAAGTTTCTTCTGGTGTATAATTATATTTTTTGATAAAAAAAAAAATGATTTTTAATTGTTGTTTTTCAATAACATTATTTTTTCCAATTCTGTGTTTTAATATAAAACCATGAAACTTATTTTGACTTACAATTTTCATATTTTATTAAAAACACTAAATGTTGAATCTATCCTATTTTAAATTTTTGAAATTATTGTGTAGGTAATTCCTGAACACTGATGTGTATTAAAAATATTTATCATTGCTGTAAAAATTAATTTCAAAATGCAATAACCTATTCTCATCTTGGTAAGCAGTAAGTTATAAAATAAATAATTTACATCAAATATTTTAGTGAAAATAAATATGATTGATACATGTAACTGTTGCACTTCTAACTGCAGTAAAAATGAAAGTTAAACCCTGGAGAGAAGGCAATAATTTTTAAATATTTGACATCATCAAGTTATTTTTTAAAAAAGTGCAATATTTTTAGTCGTAAACTTAAAAATTAAAACAAATGAAATTATTTATTATAATAAATGATTTATATCTTGCATCATTCCCTATTAATGTTTATAAGGTCAGACCAAAAACATTTTCCTGTTAGTTTTTCTCTAAGTTTTATTGCACTCCTGACCAAGACAATGGGAGGTCTTTAAATTTGAATTGTGAGGTGAAAATAACATCATTTGTTCTTGTTTCTATCAAATTGAGGCAGTTAAAGTGTGTTTGGTCATTTTTTTAAATTCACCCCTGTATGCATGTTTGGAGCTATTTAGCATAATAAAAAATGTAATTAGATTTTATTTTATTCAAACTGTATTTATACATTATTCATAGTTATACGTTACTTCTCTTTGAACATTTGTATACTTTTAAGCTCTACTGGTCACAGACCAGAAAATAGTTTATCCGATAGAGCAGTGTCTGACTCTGTCTGTAAACATATTTTTAGCTCACCTGAGCCGAAGGCTCAAGTGATCTTTCCTAATCTCATTTTGTCTGTCGTCCATCCGTCTGTCTTTCCGTCGGTAAACTTTTCACATTTGCGACTTCTTCTCAAGAACCAATGGGCCAATTTTAACAAAACTTGGTACAAAGCATCCTTGGGTAAAGGGGAGTTTAAATTGTTAAAATGAAGGGCCAAGTCCCCTTACAAGGGGAGATAATCAAGAAAAGACAAAAATAGGGTGGGGTCACTAAAAAATCTTCTTCTCAAGATTCACTGGGCCAGGAAAGCTGAAACTTATGTGGAAGCATCCATGGGTAGTGTAGATATTAAATTGTCAAAATCATGACCCCCGGGGGTAGGGCAAGGCTACAGTAGGGAATCCAAGTTTTACATAGAAATATATAGAAGAAATCTTTAAAAATCTTCTTCTCAAGAATCACTAGGCCAAAAAAGCTGACACTTATGTGGAAGCATTTTTGGGTAGTGTAGATATTAAATTGTTAAAATCATAACCCCCGGGGGTAGGGCGGGGCCAAAATAGGGAATCCAAGTTTGACATAGAAATATTTAGAAGAAATCTTTAAAAATCTTCTTCTCAAGAACCACTGGGCCAAGAAAGCTGACACTTATGTGGTATCATCGTTGGGTAGAGTAGATATTAAATTGTTAAAATCATGACCCCCGGGGGTAGGGCGGGCCACAATAGGGAATTCAAGTTTTACATAAAAATATATAGAAGAAATCTTAAATATCTTTTTTTCAAGAACCACTGGGCCAGGGAAAATGAAACTTATGTGGTATCATCCTTGGGTAGTGTAGATATTAAATTGATAAAATCCTGACCTACAGGGGTCGGGCGGGGCCACAATAGAGAATCCAAGTTTTACATAGAAATATATAGAAGAAATCTTTAAAAATCTTCTTCTCAAGAACCACTGGGCCAGGAAAGCTGAAAATAATGTGGAAGCATCCTTGGGTTGTGTAGATTCTAAAGTTTTAAAATCATAAAAGGGAAGGGGGTAGTGGGCATGATAGGTATAGCAAGAGAGGGAATCTGGTAAAAGAACTGCATCACCCAAGTTACTCAGGTGAGCGATGTGACCCATGGGCCTCTTGTTTTTTTAAAATGCTACTCTTAATCAAGTTCTGACTGACACAAGAACTTTTCCCTTAATTTGTTAAAAATACAAACCAGCAGAGCTACAGTCTCGACAGAGACTTCTGGTTGGAAGTAAAGTGTAATGATGATATCCATGCAATTTAAAATTATTTATTTTCCTGAAAGTATATGGACAGGGATGATGTTTAGAAGGTATTCAATGTCTGAAGAATTAATTTTGAATCATTTTAAACTAGTTTTAATGCATTGCTAGATAATGATGAAAGTGAAATGACTCGAGATTAGATAACATACTCAATTAAGGTCACCTGAGTTATTCAGGGGACCTACTTCAATTTATCCTTTTAAACAAAAACTTTGGTTGTGTGTCGTTTATTTGTTATCATTTTTTAAGCTTCTTCTCTGAACCCCCTGAACTAATTTCAACCAAATTTGGCATATATCATCTATGGGTGAAGGTGAACAACAAAAATTTATCAATTTCATGACAACAGAGACAAATGAGATAAGTTTTAATATACAAGGATATTGAATTTTTACTAGCATTTTGAACATCAGGACCAATTAGTCAAGTGTTCTGGTCCTGGTAAAAAAAACTAAGCAACTGCTAAGTGTGTTGTTATGATCATCAATGGTGCCTCTTTCAAAATTGTGAATGCCATATCATCTGGCTTAAAACATGAATCAAATGCTATCACTCAAAAGTTGTTGCATAATGCTCAGGTGACCTGTACGGCCCGTGGACTTCTTGTTATTTGATAACAACTTTAAAATTCTACCATAATTCTTCCATAATGTTTGCTTGCCCTCTCAGGGTTAAATTTTAGTCAATATGATGGTGGTAAAATCTTTTTTCCACAAAATTTCAACATAGCTGATAAGAGGAATTAAATCAGAAAAATTGTAGTGTCCTGGAATGTAAAAGTGTTGAGTCGGGCCATTTTTAGTCAGATGGTTGGAAGTATGCAACCAAACAATATTCTTAAGGTGGTCTGATTTAAAATTTCAGATAATGTACTTATTTTGATTATGCAATTATATGGGGATTATACATTG